ATCATCGGACACTTACGTTCATGGTTCGGGCTGGCGTTGTCTGCTAGTGGTAGTGGGGTAAGGGGCTTGAGTGTGGGTTGTGGTACCAAACGCAATGCCGGGGAACCGACACGGTTGGCTGCTGGCGGCCTTGTGGTTGGAGCGTTCGAGCACCGGCCGTCCGAACTGCTCGGCGTCTGTGGTGTTTGTCAAGAGTCGGCGACCCCTTTGTCAGCCGAGACGGCGAACGCCTCGGTGACTTGGTCGTCTTTCTTCTTCAGCTTGTGCCACCGGGAGATTGGAATCATCCAGTGGCCGGAGCGTGCTTTCTTGCACTCGATCACCCGCGTGCCCTTCGGCCAGATGATCTGGTCGTCTGTGCCCTCGGGAATCATGTGCAATCGTCTCGTACGGGTGCCCACGTACGTGTTGCGCGCTGCCATGGGGCCCAGGCCGTAGAGGGCGGGGACTTCGGCACCCTCGTCTTCCACGACGGGCGCCGAGTAGGAGATCAAATCGCTTTCACCCACCACTCCGTGAATGGTGGCCGCGCGGTGTGCTATCTGAACACGCTTGCCAACGCCACTCATCCGCCTCGGCTGGTCCAGTGTCGCCCAGATGGTCTTGGAGCCGTGCCGCTGTGCCGTGCACGACTGCCGGTCTACAAGGCTCCTGCCTGTCAGGTTCCTGCGGGCTCCGGTGTCCACCAGGAGGCCGTCTTCCTCGTCGCTGATATTGGCCTCGGTGTTGTTGTGCACACTCTGGTGCTCAAGGTCATTCTGTGCGTCCTCGTCCCATTCGAAGACTGGGTAGTGCTTGTCGTACTGCTTCCAGGGGTCGTTTGCTACCAGCGGGTCTTCCTCGGCACTGTCTTGCCACCGAAGGGGCACGGCAGGAACTCTCGGAGCAGAACTGCTCGCCTGAGACAAGAAGCTGAGCAATGGCCCCGGGCTCGGCTGAGGAGCTGCTGGTTGGTGGTGGCAGAACACGCAACTGGACATTCGGCACCGTCCTTTCTCCCAGTGTCGACGCGGAGTGCAATTGCCACTACTCCTCGCTGCTTGTCCGCACGCTCCTGTTGCAGGTGCTCTCCGGTCAGGGCGTCCTGCTTCTGGGAGCGGTGGAGGCGGCGCCACTGAGGACGCGGCAGCAAGCGAGGGAGCCGTGTGAGAGGCGGCTGACGGCGTCAAGCGAAAACGCTGTGCACTGTCAGCTGGAGTCTCGGGGACTGGTTTGACAACAGCTTGTACGCGTTGTTCTGCTGTGGGCCACTTTTGCTTGGTCGTCGTCGTCGCGGTTGTTGGGCGTTGTGGTCCCTGTTCAAGCGCGTGACTCTGCTGCGTGTGCGTTGGTGTTGGGATCGCCGTCGTAGGTGGGAAACCTGGCAGCGATGGAAGAGCTGAGGCTAGAAGCTTGTTCACGTACTCAACATATTCGTCCCTAGGCGGTGTCTTGGTGTGTTTCGTGGTCGTCGCTGCTGGTGGCGTGCTGGCAGTGGGCGCATACGAGGCCCATGTTGTGGCAGGACTGCCAACACTATCGCTGGAGGCTGCAGCGTGGACATTTCTATGCATGTCGCTGCTGGCACCGGGCACATTTCTATGCCCAGAGCCACCTCCAGAAGGCACCTGTGCCTGGGAAGGAACATTTCTATTCCCATCAGGCCTCAAGTTCCTTATGGGCGTGGTGATCACACACCCGTGGATGCTGTCTTGGACCAGCACCGTGTCCCCGCTGTACGCGCTGACGACGCCCTGGCTCACGTACTGATCCGTGCTGCCCACCGGTGGCAGCTCTGTGGCTGCTGAGGAGGCTGCCGGGGCTGCTGGCGCCTAGAAGGGCTGCGCAACTAGCTGCTGCGGCGGCTGGGGCTGCAGCAGTTGTGCGGGCGTAAGTCTCTTTTACATCGCCTGTACGACGGCACTGTCCTGCGCCAAGGGGCCGCGGGGCACATTTCTGTGCCCCTGCCCAAAAGGTGCACCAACAACACCGTCATCATCATCACCGTGTCTGTCCTCCTCCTCTTCCTCCTCCGCCCACACATTCTCGTCGTCGTTGGCCCAACCTGCAAGTTGTCTGCGAAAGCGAGAGTGGCTGGCCGGGCTGCGGCTGTCTTCTCGGAGCTGTGGGCTGCTGGCGTGGCTGCGGCTGTTCTGTCGGAGCTTTGAGCGGAGGTCTGGGCTGCGCCGGCGGACTCTTCTCTGCGACCAGAAGCATCGAGTGTTTGCTCGTGATTATCTTCGTCGTCGTCCGTCGCTGTCTCCTTCCTCGTCCCTGACGCCTCACCTCCGCCTCCTCCTCCAACGCCCTGCTCCTCCCTGATCATGAAGTGCTCCTCCGCGCCCAGGGTGAAGGGTGCCTCCTCTTCCTTCTCCTCCTCTTCCTCGCGCTGGTGCGCCTCGTCCTCTGTGGTGAAGAACGTTTTGCGCGGCTGCTTGCAGTCCACGGCCAGGTGCCCTGGCTGGCCGCAGTTGTAGCAGAGGTTGTCCGGGCTCGTGCTCTCGGCAGCCATGCGGCCTGGCTTGCCGCAGCGGTAGCACTTCACGACCTTGGGAGTGCCGCGTTTGACGCGGCCCTTGTTGTAGCCGCGGGACCGGCCCTCGAAGAAGGCCTTGATGTCCAGCTCTGGCACGTGGCCCACGCTCACGAAGGTCTGGCCCTCGAAGAACCCGCGCCTCGGAGGGCCGCCGGCGGTGCGGGCAGGGCCGCGCTTGGTGTAGCGCTTGGCGCCTACGCGGCGCTGCTTGGTCTTGTGCTTGGGAGCGAACCGGCCAGCCGCAGCGCGATACCGGCGCTCTGCCGTCCGCGCAGCCCACCACACCTGGGCCAGGTAGAGGGGGTCGTCTGCGGCCGCGCTCTGTTCCGCCTCCAGGCGGTCGGCCGGCCACGGGTCCTCGGCGGCCTCCCGCTCCCACCACTCGGTGTCGAGGCTCCAGCACGTCTCGCCGTCGTCGTCGCCCGCCGCTTGGCCGAAGTCGAAGAAGACGTCCTGGCCCGCCTCGCTGCTTTGACCGTTTCCGATCGCAGCGCGCTGGGCGGGGCGAGCTGTCGCGCCGTCGGTGCTGCCGGCCGCTATGGCCAGGTACAGCGGCAGCGGGTCCTCGTCGGCGCCCGCGAAGTACACGCCGGTCGCCCCAGTCCTGCCTGGCTGGAAGGTCGACACGTTATCCTCGATCGCTCGGTCTCGGAGAAGCCTTGCCTTGACCAGCTGGTGCTCCTGCTCGGTTCTGGGCAGCCTGCGGTCGCACTCGCGCAGGATCTCCGCCCATTTCCGCGCTGGCAGGCGCAGGAGCGAGAGGAGCATCCACGCCCGGAAAGGGACCGAAATCCCTAGCTCAGTGCGCTGGCTCGCACGGTCCAAGAGGAGGTCGAACCTCAGGAACATGCTCCGCAGGTCCTCGTCGAGGCTCGGCGTGAACTTGAAAAAGTCCAGCCCCGTGCGAAGCATCTGCGCCTCTGGGTCAGGAGGAAACTTGGCGAGCAGCACCGCCAAGAGAACATCCACCCCTGTCCTCGCCACGGCGCCCCGCCCGTCACTGAGGTCCAACACCGCGCCGTGCTGCAGGATCTCCACCGAGACCTCGTCTGCGATGGTCCGCGCCGTCGCGCAGAGGGCGAGGCTCAGCGTGGGCCCTTGGCGCTCCACGCTGAGCTTGGTGGCTGCCATCCACCGTCGTACGTCCCGCATCCATTCGGTGATGGTGTACGGATACGCCGCGTCGGGTTCTAGCTCTGGGCTCCACCATGGCGGGGTCTCTGTGGACGCCACGGCTGTGCCTTGTCTGTAGTGGTGAGGCGCCGCGCCGAAGATGTGAGGCTGCCGCCTCTCGTTCCCGGCGCGCACGGCCAGAGCGCTCCCTGCGCTCGCCATGCTTCTGTCGCCCTGCTGGCCCTGGAGGCGGCGTCTGGCTGCGCCGCGGCGGCGGCGTCAAGGTGCGCCTTGGCGGCGGCTCAAGCTCCCCCTGCAGCTCGTCGTCCGGCTTCTCGTCCGGCGACCAGTCTGGCAGCTCCTCCTTAGCCGGCTTCTCTTCCACCTCGGCCTTGAAGACCAAGGGGGAGTTGCCGCGAAGTCGCACTGACCGGCGGCAGGTCCCGCTGTGAGGCTCCCAAGGCGGACAAAGAGCACGTACGCGTGGCACGTTCGTGTTCCACCTCGAGGCGCCGAGCTACCCGCCGCGCCTCTGCGTCAACAGAGTGCGAGTGGTGGTGCCGGCGCTTCTTCGGGCCTTGCGGCCCCCCGCACGGGGTAATAGTCGAAGTTCGCGCAGTGGTAGACGTTGTGCTGGGCACTTTTCAATGCCCAGCCTGGCCGCAGAGCGCCGGAGCGCTCCGCTACCAGAGTGAAAGCGCCAGCGGGCGCTTCTGGGAGAAGATCTCGAGGAAGATCGTGAAGAAGAAGGGGATGTAAAACAATAGTGGGAAAGTAAGATGTGAGAGTAAATGGGATAAGAAATTGTATTTGCAGTAGGGCGGATGCCTTTGCTACACTCCAGAAGAGCGGTTTGCACTCGAGGCTCGAAAAGGCGGCGGCGCGCGGGGGGGGTGCAAAGCACTGTAATGAGGGGTTGGGGCTGCAGAACTCCCAAACTACTCCCCTCCTCCTCCTCCTCCTCCTCCTCCTCCTCCTCGTGTTCGTCGTCGTCTTCAGGGTCGGCGGCACCGGCCGTAAGGCCTTAGCAATACTGAAATGAAGGTGCTGGTGATGAAACTCTCGGAATTGCGACCTCCAGAACGGTGGTCAAAAGAATAGAACACCGTACGCCGACAAGATCTGTTGTCGGTCTATGACACCGAGAAGGTTGTCCTTAAGCTCGACGCAACCGCTCACTGGGTTCGTTCACTTCATCAGAGCAGGGACGTTCCAACTTGGCTCGGACAAACAAAGCTATCCATAGTCCACTTGGCACTTAACCACGAGAAGTTCCAGACAAACGTCAAACACGCTGGCACCAGTAAAATAAGCTCACCTATTAGCCTCCATTTGGACGTACGGATGTGATTCGACATGTATTGCAACTGCTTTAATTTTGCGTGATCGCGGTCGAACACTTCTTCATAGCGCTGGAGAAACCCAATACGGCACACAAGTACCTTATGATGTCGACAACCTTGAAAACCACTAACAACATTGACACGAGAGCCGAAGCAATTCCGAGCCAGAGGGCCTTCTGGGCGTTTGGACATTGCTTCATACCCGAACAGACTGCGTTAGTATAGGTGACCTGGAAGTGGTGATGAACACCCCAGAAGCAGACGCCATAAATGAACATACGTGAGAAGGCACACCGCGTGACATTGACAGCATCGTTAACGAGTGTTCGAACTTCCTGGATGAGTGCACCTGTCATCTCTTCTGCCGGTGGATCATCATGCGCCTTCACCCAATCTTCGTACTTGACAAGTAAGTCGTTCGCCTTCCCCCAATCCCTTCAGCTCCAACTTGTGCATTTTCAACCTGATGGACATGCTGCAGCACTCTGCGATCTCGTCCAATACTGTGGACGAGGCTGCTTCTGCACCGGTCAAATTGGTGTATGCGAACCTGTTACGTGTCCACTTTATGATGAGTCGGAAGTCGTCCTCGGATGGCTCGTAGTGGCACCCTTCACTGTACAAAGGTCCGCCTGCAGGGCCTGAGAGGCAGGTCTTACCGGCCGGGCGATGCGCCACAACTAGTCTGCCCTTGAAACTACCTCTCCAGTCATCCCACTCGAGTAGGTCTGTGATGGTTCTCTCAAGGTCATCCATCCCCTTGACCTCCAACTCAAAACTCCTCCCCCAAGCCATCCACTTCGGGCGATCACATGCCGAATCCACTTGCCACCGCTTGTGGTCTGTCGTCTTCCACCCGCGGCGGGGCCAGTAGCTTTTCACGCCGAAAGCGTAGTGGAGGATCTGTGCGATGAACATGACGAGGAGTATGGCCGAAAGCGGGAAGTATTCGCATATGAAGCGCGATTGGCGCAACGTCTCCTGCCAGACTGAATCCACCACGGCCGACCTGCCCTGATGAAAGTAGCCGTAGACAAACACCCCCAAAAATGCGTTCGCCTGAAGCCGGCTGTACAAAGTCACGGTGCCTAACCCAAAGAGCCAAATAAACCATACATGGAAATACCATGTGTCGTGGAATTTCTTCCACGTGGACCAAGGGGAGCAACAACGACGCAACAAGCCATCGAGCATCTGGACAAGCATGCACGGTCATCCAATCTGCCGTTATTCTTGGACTGATTGCACGCCTTGTCGCTGTACCATGTGCTCGAATACTTTGCGATGTGAACCACGAGGCACATCAAGAAAAAGCAAGTACAAGCAGCCAGCGCATGCCACAGTTTTGGGTAGGCCAGGTCAAGGGTGCCCCCTTGTCTGGCTCTTTCTCCCTATCAGGAGGCCCAGCCCCATGAACGAGAGCGTCACGAGGGCATGTATGACTGGACACCAGAGTGCCAGATCCGCGGCCGGGCCCGCGCACAGTGTGCACGCGCGGCCTTCCTCTTTGCACTCACTCAGCTCCAAGACTCGGCCAACGAAGAACGGGTCGCATCCGAGAAAGTATGGGGCCCGGGCTCCTGCCGCCCGCGCCCCTGAGGTTTGTCAACGTGGTCCTGAGGCCCGTCCTCGAGGTGCCCTGCCGCCCCCCCCCGCTGGGTCCGCGAGGAGCCTGCCGCTCCCCTCGGCGCCGCGTCCTGCCACCCCGACGGGCGCGCCGCGGGCCCGTGCAGAGCCACACCGCACAGCTCTGTGACGGCCTGGCGGCCACGGCGCGCCCAGCCAGGCCCCTGCTCGCGGGCACGCCTGCTGAGCCGAGCGGCTTTTGAGCCAACATGGCTACTCCAGAATTCGAAACAAAAGGGAGGGGGCCACAACCCTCCCAGACGAGAAGCTTTAGGCCCCCCCAGACCATCCATGAAAGGGCGGCCGTTTGTCCAGACCCCCCCGAGTCCTCCAAGACAGCCCAAATCAGACCCCCCCCCCCAAAATGTGACCCCCCCCACTTTATCATGGAATCTGGAGTACGGAACGTGGGCAGGGAACTTCTGAGCGCAGCAGACACGTGCTCGCGACAGGACCCCCCGCGCACGAGAGGACATCACTGACGAGCGGCACGCCATACCCAGTGATCCGCCCCCCCGCCCCCCCCAAAAAAGAAGTCCATGGTACTGTTACGGTAAGTGCTGGCCCACACGTCACAGCAAAACCATCCTCCTCTCGGCTCACACACAATTCCCCTCTCGAGGACACGGGGGGGGCTCAGAGAAAGCGGGGAGGCCACAGGTCATCGGTTATCCATCACGCTGCCTGCGCATTCTCTTCGCTCCTAGCGCCGCCAACGTTATACACGTTCGCTTGGACACTGACACTCTGTCTGCGAGGGACTTGAAGAAATGGCTTGAACTGATTTGGTGTCGCGTGTTTACTCAAGCAAGGCGGCGCTCGTGCCTAATACCCGCCCAGAGACCAAGCGGCCATGAAGACGTGCGCAGACGACCTCGAGAATGACGTCTTCACGGATGAGGGTTGGAACCGCTTAAAGGTTGAGGTGGGGCATCACCGGTTCTGGCTGTTAGAAAGGGGGGAGGCGCCATTGTGCACAGGATTTGTGCCCCCTCTGGGCCGCCTTCTCCAGATGGGCACCGCATGCCAGGTTTGCCCCCGCTCCCCTCCTGCTGGATTTTGCTGGGGCCCATCCAAAGCAGACCCCCCAAGCCGCCACCAAGATGAGGGCGCGACCGCCGGAGTAGAAAGAGCGAGCCGCACGATCAAAACAACGGAGGCGCGACCACCACCTCCCGCTCCCTTGCGAGGGCAGTTCGGCTACCGGCACGCGGCCTTGAGGTCGCGGAGCTTACGCGCTCTTTTGCAAAGCACGCCCCGGCGAGGCGAGGAGGGCGCGTGCTCGCCAGGAGGCGCCTGCCCCGCCCACAGGCAGCAGCTGCCGAGCGTGCACAGCCTGCCTCCACGCAGGGGGAGGGGGAGGGGGAGGCGGAGGAGGAGGAGGATGAGGAGGGGAAGGGGGAAGAGGAGGAGGAGGAGGAGGAGGAGGAGGAGGAGGAGGAGGAAGAGGAGGAAGAGGAGGAGGAGGAGGAGAAAGTGGTGGAGGAGGAGGAGGAGGAGAAGGAGGAGGACGAGGAGGAGGAGGAGGAGGAGGAGGAGGAGGAGGAGCGGCCGCTCCCCCCACCTCCGGTCCTGCTTCTCCTGGACGAGCGCAGTCGCCTCCGCCGCCTTCGCGTAGAACTCCTCCCGCACGAGGGGGAGAGGCCCCCGGGGGAAGAAGGGGCCCCGGGTCCAGCCTCCTCCTCCTCCTCCTCCTCCTCCTCGTCGTCCTCCTCTTCCTCCTCGTCCTCCTCCTGATCCTCGTCGTCGTCGTCGTCGTCGTCGTCGTCGTCGTCGTCGCCGTCGTCGTCGTCGTCGTCCTCGTCGTCGTCGTCGTCCTCCTCCTCCTCCTCCTCCTCCTCCTCCTCCCCCTCCTCCCCCTGGACCAGCGGCTCATCCCGGGTCGCTACTTGACGGCCCAGAAGCAGCGAGAAGAAGCTCGAGGGCCCCTCTGCGGCGGCGTGCGCCGGGGAGCAGCAGGCGAGGGCGGCAGGCATCCGGCCTTCTGGGGAGCTCTCGAAGTTTTGGCCGAAGCTGCAGATGGCTTCTCGGGAGGCGCGAGGGCTTCTGAGAAGCCCGGCCTTCGGTGGCATCTCGTGGGAGCCTCCCACACCATCTTGCCAGCTCCTGCGAATCGACGCTGATCGACGCTAAGTCGGCGCTAATCGACGCTAGTCGACGCTAAGGCGACGCCCATCGACGCTACATCGGCGCCAGCCCATCGACTCCCAGACGGCAGTCGACGTCAACCGAAGCAGAAGACGGAGTTCAGAGGGCACACCAGGCTCCCCTGAGTTGCTGCCGAGCACGCCTCCTCCTGAGACTCGGCCTGTCCCCTCTTGCCTTCCTCCCTCGGCGCGCCGCCGACCCTTCCCCTGCGGGACACGCTGCTCTTATGACTGAAGGGGAACTGGGACACACAAATAAATAGACACTAATAAAAGGATTCCCCATATTTTCCCATATTTTCTGGGTTTTTGTCTTCCCCCCACTTCCCATATGTTCCCATATTATATTTCCTGGGGATCGACGATTAATTGTGTCTGTGTGTTTTTTTTCCTCCTGAATGACGCTGGCTCCTTCAGAACCGCCAGCGCCTGCGCGACGGCGGTCTGCGCCTCCTGCGAGTCCTTGACGGTGAGCTCGTTCTTCTGCCTCTCCTCCGCTCGCAGCGCCGTCGCCTCCGACATGGCCCCGTCCAGCTCCGCCACCGCCGAGGAGAGCTCGGCGATCTCCTCGCGCACCGGGGGATGCGACGGCGAGAGAGACGTCATGATGCGAGTGGCTCGAGATGCGCTCCGTGAATTCAGGAGGATCCAGCGGCCCCCGCTCCTGCAGCCCTGGTGGAACGTTAGGAAGCATTGTAGTCCTGGGACCCCCAAAGAATCTTGCAACCGTATCATTATCGTTGCCCCTTGCTCCTGTAAAGTACATCCACATCCCAGGACCCCCCTCACGTGAAGAGAAACGCACCGTCCGAGATAATGAAAATCGCATGCTTCCCCACCGAGACGAAGGGTAAACCTGTTGTCAAGTGTAAATGTCCCTAACCAGGCCCCGGGGCCGTCAAGAACTGAGCCCGTCAAACAAACAACAAACCCAAGGAAGCGGTCGAGGCACGGGAGCGTCAATGTCATGAAAACCAAACAACAAGTCGTCGGGGCGGGGGTCTGGGTTTGGAGACGAAGCCCCAGGGAGTCTCGCGGAGCGGTGGACACGAAACCTTCCGCCCCCTGAGGGCGGAAAATGCAGTCAAAATTGGCCTCAAGGATGGTACTCACGGATGCAAGCGATCCCTGGAACGACGTCAAAGCCAAGGCTGCGCGCGCCCAAGCGTGCTGAGGACGGCCAGCACTCGAGGCTGCAACGTGCCCTGGCGACAAAGGTCCATCCCTCACGCCGCTTTCGGCTGCACCCGCACTCGATGTCCCCCGGTGCCGTAGGCGACCCGAGGAGGAGGAGGAGGAGGAAGAGGAGGAGGAGGAGGAGGAGGAGGAGGAGGAGGAGGGGAGGCGGAGGAAGAAGAGGAGGAGGAGGAGGAGGAGGAGGAGGAGGAGGAGGGAGGGGGAGGAAGGAGGAGGAGGAGGAGGAGGAGGAGGAGGAGGAGGAGGAGGAAGAGGAGGAGGGAGGAGGAGGAGGCGGAGGGAGGAGGAGGAGGAGGAGGAGGAGGTGGAGAAGGAGGAGGAGGAGAAGGAGGAGGAGGGCTGAGGATGGCCGCGAGTCGGAGAGGGGCGCGTCGGTCCGCCCCCGCCCCCGCCGAGGAGGGAGGAGGAGGAGGAGGAGGAGGAGGAGGAGAAGAAGCACGAGGAGGAGGGAGGAGGAGGGAGGAGGAGGAGGAGGATGGGTCGCCTAAGCCCTTCGGAGAAGCCCTCCACCGCGAGAGCCGCCGGAAGCCCGCCTCCGAAGGCCGGTGGGCGTGGACGGGGCCCCCACCGCGGGCTCCTCGCCCAGCTTCGCGACGGAGGCCGTCAGCTCGTCAAGCTCCGCGTGCAGCAGCTCGACCGCCTGCGTCTTCTCCTCGGGTCCGCGCGCCCATTCTCCCCCCTTACGCGTTCGATCATGGACCACGCATCTCGGCCTCTGAGAACCGCCGAAAAACCGAAAATCCGCGGGCGCTGGGGCCCGACATGGTCTTCGGCGGTCCTCGGCGGTCTCTCGGCGGTCTCTCGGCACGCAACCCCCCCACAGGCCCCACAACTGAGCCTCGCAACCTCCCGCTGCGACAGAATCCCGACGGGAGGTTTCCCACAAGCTTCGGCCTCTACAGGGGGCCCTCACCCGGCCCCGGGGCCAGCAGAGAGCGATTCGGAATGAGGAACGGATCCCTGGGAAGAGGCCTCGGAGTCTGGGGAGCCACGCCATGCCAAAAGCAAGACGAATGATTTCTGGGACGGCCCGCGCGACTGAGGGGCAACAGTAATAGGGGAACAAAAAGTGGCATGAGCATAAGAACTCGGAGGTCCGCGCGGATTTCTCGCATCGGCGCTGGACCCCCCTCCCTGGCGCGCGGAGCGCCAGGGGCGGCGCCGGAGGCGCCGCCGGGGGACCCCAGCGGTCAACAAGGGCCGCGAGAGTACCAAGGTACATAGTGGTGGCAGTGGTGGAAAGTAGAGGCGCCAGTGCCGGAGCAGGACGCCTCACGGAGGGTGCGCGCCGAGCTCGGCGCCGCAGCAGAAGCCAGCCTCCCAGAGCAGGAACAACAGAGCCGACGCCCCCTCAGCGGCGCAGAGTCAGCCATCGCCGCTCGCCGGGCTGCTGGAATGCCCCCCCTTCTTTCATGAGCTTATCCTTCGACGAGTACTCGGCGGGGAACGAGGCAATGCGAACAGGGCGGCAGCATTCGCAGCCCCGCGCCGAATCAGCGAAAAAGTTGGTCAGGTGTTGGTCCGCAGCGAAAGCGAAAACAACGATATAACCGATCATGCAAAATTGGAATGCCGCCTGGCCCCCTTAAAGCAGCTAGCCCTCTCCACCCACTCCTCCCTCTCCTCTTTCTCTGGACTGTCGAAACAACGATTTTTTATATTTCGGCGCCGGCAACATCTACGAGGCGCCAGAGAGGCACAGAACGTGCCAGCTAAATGCCAGGATGGGCAGAAAATGCAAGTAAAGCGCCAGAGAGGCTTAAAAACTAAAGAAACTGCCAAATCGGTGCCAGGACCGGCGGAAAATATAAGCGATATATCCGTCTACTCGAACCCGATATCGGAGAAGCATTGGCGAGCCCCGAGAGGTCCTCAACCAGCGACTGGCCGATGCGAGGCTGAAGCTAGCACCGAGCCTAGAAAGGTCCTCGAAGATGCCAGTCCAACAAATCAAGATGAACGCAAGAGTACCAAGGTACATAGTGGTGGCAGTGGTGGAAAATAGAGGCGCCAGTGCCGGAGCAGGACGCCTCACGGAGGGTGCGCGCCGAGCTCGGCGCCGCAGCAGAAGCCAGCCTCCCAGAGCAGGAACAACAGAGCCGACGCCCCCTCAGCGGCGCAGAGTCAGCCATCGCCGCTCGCCGGGCTGCTGGAATGCCCCCCTTCTTTCATGAGCTTATCCTTCGACGAGTACTCGGCGGGGAACGAGGCAATGCGAACAGGGCGGCAGCATTCGCAGCCCCGCGCCGAATCAGCGAAAAAGTTGGTCAGGTGTTGGTCCGCAGCGAAAGCGAAAACAACGATATAACCGATCATGCAAAATCCCACCAGCCCTCTGGGCGTAGGTGGTCTAGAGCAGATCCTCTTCCACCCCTCCCTCTTCCCCCTTGGGGAGGGGTTTACCCCTCCCCCTACCCCCTCCCCTGGACCTGGACGGGGGGGGCCGCGGGTAGTTAGAGCGTCCCAGATGGCCCAAGACGGCTCCAAGAGCGCCTCAGAGAACCCAAGATGAGCTCCAAGATGGCTCAAGATAGCGCAAGATCGCTCGAGATGGCTCCTAAGATGGTTCCAAGAAGCCCAAAGACGGCCCCAAGATAACTCCAAGTGGCCAAACAGCTCCCCAAGGAGGCCCCGAAGAGGCCAAAATCGTCCCAAAACCTAAGGAAAATCAATGATTTTTGCTTTCTCGCCTTTTCGCTTCCGATGGCCATCCGAGGCCTGGAGATGGTTCCAAGATGGCCCAAGAGGGCCCCAAGAGAGCCCCAAAAGAGCCCCAAGACGGCCCCAAGAGCGCCCAAGAGCACTCCAAGAGCGTTCCAAGAGGGGTCCAAGAGGCGATTTTAGGGGCTTCCGAGGGGGGACGCTAATTAAACCCCCCCTCTTGTTTGATCGATCTCCTCCAAGATGGCCCCAAGAAGCGCCCAGGAAGCCCCAAGAGGTCCCAAGATGGCCCCAAAATGGCCCCAAGAGGCCCCCAAGAGGCCCCCCGGAGGCCCCCAAGAGACCCCCAAGAGGCCCCAAGAGCCCCCCCAGATGCACCCAAGATGCTCCAAGAGGCCTCGGCGAGAATGCCTAATCATTGATTCTACACAGGTTTTAGCCACATGGAGGCCTCTTGGGGGGGGGCACGGATTAAGATGACTCCAAGAGCGTCTGGGAGAGCCCAAAATGACCTCCAAGATGGCTCAAGATATCCCAAGATGTCTCATAATGGCTTCCTCTGTGTGCTGCCCACTTCTCTGATCGAGGCAATTCCTCTGGGCATCGTTTCTGGATGGGCTGGTGGGGATTCGCGAAGCGACAACAATTGGAATGCCGCCTGGCCCCCTTAAAGCAGCTAGCCCTCTCCACCCACTCCTCCCTCTCCTCTTTCTCCTCAATGTCCTTCATGTTCTTATGGTCAAATGGATTCATCATCTATTTCCTATCTACAACAAAACATTACGGATCTAACCTCAGGGTAGTGGTGCTGCGATACAGACTCAAAGTGGGAGCCAATCAACGGGAGCCCCGGCAGACGCCGCGCCTGGGGCCGCGGCCGCGCCCTCCGAGAACGACGGATGCGTGCGCTGCGCGCCACGGTCGTCGCCGGTGCCTACAGGGACCCCCCGAGCTGCCCGACCTCGCGCGGTGGCGCCTGCCCTGGGCGGCGGCAGCCGGCTCAGCCTCGCGAGCGGCCCGCCGGCGGGCGGCGGCGCTGCGGCCTTCGGCGGCGGGCCCGCCTGCGGCTCCCCGCCGCCTCCCGCAAGCCTGCTCCTCAACGCCGCGCCCTCGGTGGGCGGCTTGCGCTCCGCCGTCCCCGCCCACTTGGCGCGCGGGTGCTGGGACCTCGTCATCCCCACCGCCTTCCCAGCGTTCCAGCGGGCCTCCGCGCAGGACGACGCCTCGCTGCCCCCGCAGTGTCCCGACGTCTCGCCGTCGCCCTGGCGCCCTCGGTGTACGGCCGACGACTCGCTGCTCGCCTGTCCGAGCAGCAGGCCGAGGCTCTGGTGGTCGGCGGCCGCTGCTTCTTCCTCTCCGTGGACTGTCAACTGCTGGCCATCTCCCCAGTGCCCTTGGTGCGCAGCTGGTGCCGCGCGACCTCCCTGCAGTGAGGGGCCCTCGGTCAGGGCCAAAGCGGCGCTCGAATTGCTCATCGGTGGCTGCTCGGCGCTGCGATTGCCAAGGTGGCACAGCCTCACCTCGCCCACGAGCTGAAGGGCGATGTGCAGAAGATGCCCGGTGATCTCGTAGATTATGATGCGAACCTCGAACTCGTGCGTGGGTATACCGTTTGAATCCATGCAGTGAAGCGTGGCTAGGAAGCTATCCGAGGGTTGCCCCCTGCTCGTTCTGAACTGATGCTCCATTTTGGCACGATCACTGATGTGTGCGAATTGGGATACTTGTGTTCCAACAGCGCCTCCGCCTATTAAGTCCGACGCCCCTGTGCTCGCGCTGACAACGATGCCACTGCTCCTGTTTACGATCAACTGCTCGTCCGTCAAAACGTTCAAGACCTGTTGCATTTTGTTGAAATGGGACACAGACTGCCACTCAAGGAAGAAGACTGGGACCATAACCGCAACGGCTTCGACGTGTATGAGCAAATCCAAGCTTGGAGCGCAAACGCAACAGCAGATGATTCCAGAAATGCTGAACTGCAAGACAAAGCAACTGTGCAACCCATAGGCCCAGCACAAAAGAATGAACAACGGGAGTTGCATGGTAATAGCATTCATGGGAGCTTGTAAGAGAACGAACCAAATTACTCCACATAACATGGTGGATATGAAGAAATCCGACCACAGGGATGTCGTTGGCAATGTCGCCATTGCCAAGGACAACAGCAAGCACAACATCAACGCCTGGGTTAAGACAGCACCCAAACCAACAAATTGAACCTTTCCCACACATAACAAGCACAACCAAAGAGCAAGCCAAACAACAATCGTAACCCAATAATACTTCCAAAAAGTTCTCCGGCTTGCTGACGACGCGAGATAATGACTGTCCGTTGTCATCCGCCACCAGCGACGAATTGCTCGGCAGGCAAATCCAGCGCCGCGCCAAACTGGGTCTCGCGTCTCCATGCGGAGAAATGGCACCGCGCAGCTGTCGCCCCATACTGGTTCAGCCATATGACCACCCCGTTGATGTGAGCAAACGTCTGAGCTCTTGAAGGAGATCTCGAATAAAAACTTGAGCCAACCTTGAGCCAAAATGGCTACGGAGGGGCCTTCTTGGGCCGTCTTGGGGAGCTTGGGCCCGCTGGAGCCCCCTTTGGACCCATCTTGGGCACTTCCGGGGACCTCCCATGGCCCTTTTGGGTCTGTGCTGGGAGCCCTTGGGGGGCCTCTTGGTTCCATTATGGGCTGTCTTGGGGCTCTCGTGGGCGATCGTGGGGCCCGGCTTGGCCGTCTTGAAGCTTTCTTGGGGGCCTTTTGGGGCGTCTTGAGGCGATCTCGGCGGCTTTGAAACCGTCTTGAAAGCTGATGAAATCCGAAAGGCGAATATGCTAAAGTTGCAAGTTTTACCAAGGGAATGGGACGATTTTTGTGTTTCGGAGCCCTTGGGAAGTTTTTTGGGGTGCCTTGGGGGTCTTTATGTTGGCATTCGGAAACATCGTGGGGGTGTTTTCGGGGCCTTCGTGGGCCGTTTTGGCGCCTTCATGGGCCGTCCTGGGGCCTTCTTGGGCCGTTTTGGGGAGCTTGGGCCCGCTGGAGCCCCCTTTGGACCCATCTTGGGCACTTCCGGGGACCTCCCATGGCCCGTTTGGGTCTGTGCTGGGAGCCCTTGGGGGGCCTCTTGGTTCCATTATGGGCTGTCTTGGGACTCTCGTAGGCGATCGTGGGGCCCGGCTTGGCCGTCTTGAAGCTTTCTTGGGGGCCTTTTGTGGCGTCTGGAGGCGATCTAGGGGGCTTTGAAACAATCTTGAAAGCTGATGAACTCCTACAGGCGAATATGCTAAAGTTGTAAGTTTTACTAAGGGAATGGGACGATTTTTGTGCTTCGAAGGCCCCTTGGGAAGTTTTTTGGGGTGCCTTGGGGGTCTTTATGTTGGCATTCGGAAACATCGTTGGGGTGTTTTCGGGGCCTTCGTGGGCCGTTTTGGCGCCTTCATGGGCCGTCCTGGGGCCTTCTTGGGTCGTCTTGGGGAGCTTGGGCCCGATGGAGCCCCCTTTGGACCCATCTTGGGCACTTCCGGGGACCTCCCATGGCCCTTTTGGGTCTGTGCTGGGAGCCCTTGGGGGGCCTCTTGGTTCCATTATGGGCTGTCTTGGGGCTCTCGTGGGCGATCGTGGGGCCCGGCTCGGCCGTCTTGAAGCTTTATTGGGGGCCTTTTGGGGCGTCTTGAGGCGATCTCGGCGGCTTTGAAACCGTCTTGAAAGCTGATGAAATCCGAAAGGCGAATATGCTAAAGTTCCGAGTTTTACTAAGGGAATGGGCCGATTTTTGCGCTTTGAAGGCCCCTTGGAAAGCTTTTTGGGGTGCCTTGCGTTTTTCTTGGGCCGTCCTGACGCAATCGGAGTCCCTCTTGGAGCGCTCTTGTGCTGTCTGGGGCCTCCCTTGAGCCTTTCTGATGACCCCTCGGATCGCTCTGGGTCTGCTGGCAAGGCGTTTGTGGAGACCCGGAAAGGGGGGTGATTTTTTCCAAGGACGTCCAAAGGAGCCCGAGAACCGGTCGAGTTTCGGGGGGGGGGGGACGGTTTCCCCCCCCGGGCTTGTAAAAATATAGGAAAAGGAATTTATGCATATGAAAGAGCGTGTTCTACCGCTGCTGGCGGAAAACCGAGGGGGGTCACTACCGGTTCGACCCCCCCCCTCCGAAAAACCGGGGGGGGCCACTACCGGTTCGAACCCCTCCCCCCCGCCCTCACCGCCAGCAAACGACTCCCGGTCCCTACCACCGTCCGCACAACATCCCCCACTGCTGTTCCCAGCACCACTGTCCTCACCACCACTGTCCCCGCTGGTTCCACCACCGTCCCTACTGTCCACACCAGTGCCCCCATCTCTGTCGCAGTGTCCCCACTGTCCCCACCACTGTTCCCACCACGGTTCCACTCTCCCCACCTTCTCCACGGCCCCAGCCACTGCCCGACTGTCCCTACTGTCCCAGTGCCTCCTCAGCTGTCCCACTGAGCTGTCCCACTGTTCCCACCACTGTCCCCACTGTCCCCACCACTGTCCCCACTGCACCTCTGCCCCATTGTCCCACCGCCGTCCTCGCCACCGCCCTCACCACTGTCCCCACCACCACTGTACCCTCCACTGTCCCACTGTTTCCACCACATCCCCACTGTCCCCACCACCACCGTCCCCACCACTGTCCCATTGTCCCCACTGTTCCCACCATTGTCCCCGCTGTCCCCACTAGTGCCCCCACCAGTGTGTCATTGTCCTACCACGGTCCCACTCTCCCCACTTCCCCCACGGTCCCCACCACTGGCCCACTGCCCCCACTGTACCCCCTACTGTCCCACTGTCCCCGCCGCTGTCCCACTGTGCTGTCCCAGCGTCCCCACTGTCCCCATCACTGCCCCACTGTCCCCACTGTCCCCACCACTTTCCCCACTGTGGTACTGTCCCACCACTGTCCTCACCACCGCCTTCACCACTGTCCCCACCACTACCGTCCCCACCACTGTCCCACTGTTCCCACCACTGTCCCGTTGTCCCTTCACCACTGTCCCCACCACCACCGTCCCCACCATCCGCACCCCCCCCCCCCCCGGTTTTCGAGGGGGGGGGGTTCGAACCGGTAGTGACCCCCCCCCCCCTTTTCATGATGGACTGGGGGGGGAGGGGTTCGAACCGGTAGTGACCCACCCCCCGGTTTTCCGCCAGCAGCGGTGGAACACGCTCTTTCACATACATATATATATATACACACGAACTGCCGCTGGCATCTACCTCGATCGAGAAGAAGAGGAGACAGACGAGGAGTAGGAAGAGGAAGAGGAAGAAAAACAAAAAAAATGATTTCGTCGGCACCGCCGATGTCTCACAGATTTTCGTTGTCTTTCGACCACCCGAAGCATCTCCTCGAATTCTGCCTCCAGGAACCATTGTCGGTGCCGGGGACCACCGCCGAAAGTCCAGGATAAGGATCGACCTCCCTGGCAGGCGCCACCCCTTCGCAAAGGAAGGAACACGGGGTGGATTGAGGCTCGAGGCATGACGTTCCCAGTTCTTGGGCGCTCTCCGCCCCCTCTGGGCCTTCAGGAAGCTCCTCGTCGACACAGCTGGGTCCACTCTCGAACTTCTGGCCGGACGGAACCCCAGCTGGGTCTCAACGATCCCGGAGCCTATCCAGGAGGTGGAAAAGGAGGCCTGGGACAGGCCCCGTGAAGGCCCCAAGAAACTCACATAAGACCACAAAAACTTCAAACAATCCCCTACAAAGCTCCCCCTTTGAACCCCACACGCTACGTAGGACAGGCCGAACCCCCAAGATTGCCCAGCGATCGCGCGCGTTCCGCGAATTCTGTCTTTGACTCTTGCTGCCGCCCCAGGGGGTCGGCGGTGCGGCGTAAGCCAATGAATCACAACGGGAAACCAGTTGCGCGCCTCCAGCGCCGCCCCTGGCGCGCTCCGCGGGCCAGGGAGGGGGGGCCCCAGCGAGGATCCAAGAAATCCGCGCGGAGCGCCAACTATTTATGTTTATAGCGGTTTTTCTCTTCTGGACGAGCGTGCCCCACTACTCGCAAAGTAGCTACTCGCAACTGGCCTGGACCTGTCGCGTGAGATCTGCGATCCACTAGACAGAAGAGAAGGTATGCCTTCTTCGGACGTCTGCGAGTCGGCACTTTGCGAGCAGCGGAACGCGCTCGGTGGTCTTCGAGGACTCCTTCCCTGGCCCCTCCTCCTTCGGGAGCGGCCAAGAGGGGGGTGTCCAAGAGGGGGGGTGCAAATCATGACCGGCGGCGTGTGCGCGGCCCAGCGGGGGGGCCAGGAACGTAATGAAATAAGATGAGGCGCCATGAAATCTGGGGAAATATCACGGCCCACGCCATGATATCCCCCCCCCCCTAGTCATCACTTGGCAAACCCCAAACGTGGTGGTGACAACACCTGGCGGTGAGTCTCGGGCGATTTGGTGTCACCACCCGGTTTGGGGACTCGTGCGGTTTTCCGACGATGTCCCGGACACTGGTGGGTCCAGGAGTCACAAAACCCGGTGGTGACCCCGCGTCCCCAAACCCAGCGGTGACCTTTTTGGGGATTCCAGGTCGCCACCTGGTATCTCACCACCTGTTTTGGGGGTTCCCGAATCACCCCTCTCTTCCGCCCCCGACTCCTGCAGGGCGTCTGCCGGGCCTCGCGACTGCCAGAGCAGGCCTGGGAAGCGGCCGCGCTCCCGGCGGGCCCGGACCGAGCCTCGACCTCCGCGGGCCGGGGCCCCGCCCACGCCGTGGACGAGGACACCCCGCCGGGAGGCCCGAGGAGGGGCCCCGCAGAGGCCCCGGGGCCTCGGGGGCGGGGCCCGTGCACCCTGACCTTCCAGAGTGCTAAAAGATAGCCCTCCAGACCTATGGACCTGTCTGGGCTGCCCAAAACCTCGACTGGAATTAAGATATCGAGGTCCTGGTGCTATTTTTTAGCCCTCTTGGAAGGTCAGGGCAGTGGTCCCCCAGAGGGTTCCCGGGAGGCCCCCGGGGTAGCCTATAGAGGGAGCCAAGAAGGCCCTCCGAAGGCCCGCCTCGATCGCGCGAGCGTTTCGGCATGGGGCAGGAGGGGGGGAGGGGGGGAGAGGGGGTCTGGCTCTGGACCGGTGCTTCGTGCGGCCGCTTGCAGAAGTGCGGCCTCTGGGGGAGACTCCACCCGCTCGAAGCAGGCGCCAAAAAACAGCCAAGATCTACTCCATGGAGGGGGAAGGGGTGCAAGGGCCCGCGCCGATCGGCAAAACAGCGAATAAAAAACGATCACCGATCGGGATCGGAGCGGCCTGGCCACGGGCCCTGATCGAAAGATCGACGCCTGCTCAGCTACAATCAGAGCTCTGCCATAAGAAGCAGTTGAAAAAGAAATGAAGCCACAGTTGGGCCTCAGCCTCGCCCAGATGCACTAGCAACGCCATGGGAAGAACCATTGAAGGACCTCAGGAACATCCAGAACCCTTCGAAAACCAACGTGGATCTTACCTTTGAAAAAGTTTGACTGTGCTCTCCTTCCGCGTCTGCTCGTTCGTGGAGAGCTCGGTGTCGCACCAGCCTTTGTGCTCGGCTTCCTCGTTGGCCTCCTCCATGAGGCGCACGATGAGATCCGCCGGCCCCGTCTGCGGTGCCATCGGGCGCGTGAAAGAGGAGCCAGACCTCCCGGCGTCCTGAACCGTCGAGCCAACGGCTCTTCTTCGATTTCCGCCCATCCCGGGGCCCGTTTCGGGCCCAGTTGCCGCGAGGGCTCGGCCCGGGCTGCAAGGACTAGCCAAGGTGTAGCCTGTGAGGGTTCAGGGAACCGATTTTGCACTGATCTTGCAGGGGCACAGAAGGACCAGGGAGAATGACTGGGAAGGGGAACGACGACGACGAGAAAGAGAAGGAAGAATGAAGAATGATCGTGATAACACCTCATGCGCACGGAACGAACGCCCCGATGACCCCACGCCGAAGCCTCCTCCACAGAAGCAAGGTCCACGCTTCAAACCCAAAGTCTCGAAACGTAAGCGAACTGGAAATGAAGCTGGGAGCTGGAACAATCCTGTCGCTCGGCCCCGAATTGGCCCTCACCCTTCCCACTGCCAAAGCAAAATCCAAGACCCTGCGGGGGTCCAACTGACGCAATGGTTGGATAATAGTTACGCTGGTTTGTTGCCGCCGGCCGCCCTCGAAAGGGTCCACCTTCTCACAAGCTGTTCACGGGGTGGACCCAGGCGACCTTCCTTGTTTCCATAGTTTGGGTGCCCCCTGCAAGGAAGCCCTTTTCTAGATGGGGGCACGGCACCACACTAGGCGGCGAGCCCGGGCGGAAGTGAGAAGGTGCAACCCTTCTCGGAAGGCGGCGAGAGGCTTCGAGAACTTCTCAGGAGGTCCCGAGGCCTTCCGAGCCTTCCCAGAGGAGGTCCGACCGCTCCCGCTTCCCCACCGGGCTCGCCGCCGGCAGCCGATGATAACCATGCGGGTGCCAAGGTTGGCTTTGCCGATGCTGGCGACGATCATAACAATCATGCTGCGCCAATACTCCGCCTTATACGGTCAGAGGTTACCTCGAGCTGGTCCAAGGCGGCCTTGGGCCCCCAAAAACGCTTTCAGCGAACGCACGTCACGCACTCGATTCTGCCGAGTTTCGCCCCACTTTACCCCGGGCATGGGAAACACTCCCGCAAGTTCCCATGACCCTCTAGCCACCACCGCCTGACGGGAAGATCGACTCCCTGGAAGCGGCCAATGTGTAAAACATTTCGACCTTCGGATCCCCCAACAGGCTCCGGGACCGTGAACAATCGGCGCACGATGATAGTTGCTTGTCTCTACAAGGCAACCCAGCGTAGTTGGGTGCTTTTCATGCGCGAACCCTACTAGGGCAACGGTTTTGTCTTGCGCGGCCTTGCAATGCAGCAGCTGCCCCCCCCGTTTGCGCGCCATTCCCGCGCCGCATGAAGCCTTGCGAAGACCCTGCAACGACCCTGCAAAACTTTGTGAACACCCTGAACTGCCATGCGAAACTACGCCAATCCTTGGCACGCATTTCAGTGCGTAGCACCCCGCAATTGCGGATGAAATTGAAATCGCGGGCGGGGGGGGCGGCGCGGCACCTGCGCCCCGCGCGCGATCCGCCAACCTCGAGACCCGCCCGCGACCCCCCGGCCCAGCCCCCCGCCCCCCGTCCCGGAAGGACCCGAAAGCCCCAAGGCCCCCAGATGGAGGAAGGAGGGGGGGAGGGAGGAGATGGCGCCTCAGGGGTAAAACGACGCAACGGCGAAGCGCCAAAAGGAACCATTTCGACAGAATTACGAAGATACCTAATCGCTGCCCAAGAGGAACCATGTCGACAGAATTACAGAGATACGCTGTCGTTTACAAAATACGCTATGCAACCGAACGCCGTTGCTTCAAAGGCTTGTCTGGCGCCCCCTCCGCATTTCTGGCCGCCTTCGCCGTCGACGGCGCCCTGACTCAAGGCGCGTTGCCGCCGTTGCGTCAAGCAGCGCCGGAGGCATTGAAACTGCCGGCACGCATGCAATTGCTTCTGCCGAGCTCTGCCCCGTTCACTCTGGGCATGGGGAACACTCCAATAGGCTCCCCTGACCCCTACCCACCGCCGCCCGACGGAGAAGCCGACTCCCTGGAAGCGGCCTATGTGTAACAATTTCGACTTTTGGATCCCCCCAGGAGGTCCCGAGACCGCGAACAACCGGCACGCGATGAGATATGCTCGCCTTCACAAAGGCAGCCCAGCGTGGTTGAGTGCGTTGTCTTGCGCGAACCTTACTCGGGTTACGTTCTCGTCTTGCGCGACCTTAAAAGGCAGCGGTTCCCCCCCCCCGCTCGCGCGCCATTCCCCGCGCCGCACAAAGCCCCGCGAAGACCCTGCAACGGCCCTGCAAGCACCCTGCGAACATCCCGAAATATCCTGCGAAACTACGCCAATCCTGGGTGCGCTTTGCAGTACGCAGCACCCCGCAATTGCTGATGAGATTGGGGACGCAGGCGGGGGGGGGGGGGGGGGCGCAGCACCTGCGCACCGCGCGCGACCCGCCCGCCTCGAGACCCGCCCGCGACCCTCCGGCCCCGCCGCACGCCCGTCCTGGACGGGCCCGACGGCCCGAAGGCCTCCAGATCGAGGAGGGAGGAAGGGGGGAAGGAGGAAATGGCGCCCCAGGGGGAGATCGACGCAATGGCGAGGAGGCCCACGAGGAACCATGTCGACATAATTGCAAAAAGACCATTCCGAGACTATTCCGAGATACCCTGTCCTTCACAGAATAAATGTAACCGATCGCCGTTGTTTCAATGATTTTACCCACGCGCGCGGCGACTACAGCGCAATCGGGCGCCCGCGCAGGCCGGCGAGGGGGAGAGAAAGAGAGAAAGAAAGAGAGAGAGAGAGAGAGAGAGAGATAGAGGCCAGGCGCGCGGCGCGCTCACGCGCGAGCGCCGCGCGCCACCATGAGCTCCAGCTCCAGCGGGCGCGCCAGATCCGCGAGGGCCTCCCTGCAGATGCCGTCGCGGGGAGCGTCAACAGTTCCGCCCGCTCCCCGAACAAGCTCCGCCGCCGCCGCACCCGCGTCGCCAGCCGCGTTGTCGGTGCGCCGCAGCCGCCTCCGCGCCGCGCGCGACGGCGGCACGTCCGCCCACTCGTCGTTGAGGTCCGACCCCTCGCCGACGCCCATGGGGCATGACCGCGAGCCCCAGCCGTGCGGCAACACCGACAGCAGCAGCTCCAGCGCCAGCATCCACCGCAGGGGGAGGCGCCTCCGCAGCATCGCGCCGCCGCGCCGCGGGGCGCTGGCGGCGGCGTCGCCGCCTCTCCACCGTTTGCGGCCGAGGCGGCGGGCGGGGTGGCAGCTCGTACTCCCCGGAGCTCCAGCTGCCGGCGCGGCCGCATCCATCTGCCCAGTATCTGCCGCCCCCGCGCCCACGAAGAGCGCGGCGGAGATGGCAGACCGGGCGACGGCGGCAACCGCGCGCCGTGGAGGACCGCGGCGTGGACGGCGGCCTCCACGAGGGACGCGGCGTAGGCCGAGGCAGCCCCTCCAGGCCTCGGCATCCCGCGGCGCTGCGACGCCGGGGCGACGGGGCCACGAGGCGAGACCGCGCGGTCGCTTGGGCCAGAATGCGTTGCTTCAGCGGGTCAAGATAGTTCCCCGGGGGATTCTCTGGCGCCCCCCCCGCATTCCTGGCCGCCGTCGCCGTCGACGGCGTCCTGGCGCAAGGCGCGTTGCCGCCGCCGAGTCAAGCAGCGGCGAAAGCATTGAAACTGCCGGCGCAAATGCACTCGCTTCTACCGAGCTTCGCCCCGCTTACTTTGGGCATTGGTAACACTCCCACTCCCATAGGCTTCCCTGGCCCTCCACCCACCACCGCCTGACGGAGAAGTCGACCCCCCCGAAGTGGCCAAGTCGTAACAACAGGCCCCGGGACCGTGAACAACGGGCACACGATGATATTTGCTTGCCTTTACGAGGGCAGCCCAGCATGGTTGAGTGTTTTGTCTTGCGAGAACCCCTACTAACCCTGTCGCGGTTAGGGTAACGTTATTGTCTGGCGCGGCCTTGAAAGGCAACGACTTTCCCTTTCCGCTTGCGCACCATTTCCTGCGCCGCACGAAGCGCTGCAAAGACCTTGCAAAGGTCCTGCAAACATCCTGCGAACATCCCGAAAGACCCTGCGAAGCTACGCCAATCCTTTGTGCACCTTGCAGTACGCAGCACCCCGCAATGGCGGATGAGATTGAGGGCGCACTCGGGGGGAACGCACTGCTTGCCCCTGCCGACCCGTGGTGCGTTTCGGGGCGAGGCACATCCTCGAAATTCGATGCCGCTGGCCCCCTTTCGACATCGTTATGTATCGCCGAATGACTCCGCTGGCCTTCTTCAAGTCGAGGACCGAGGGTTCACCTCCGAAAGAGAAACCTAGGCCTGCGCCCTCTGCGAGCAATGCATTCCAACAAAATTCAACCAGACCAAAAAAGGGTACGAAAAAGCGTCCCAGGCATTTTTGTTTAACCATTCTTGACTACTCCTGCTGAAGAGGACATGTCCGACTTTACGCCAGTCCCAGACCCCCCTACGTCGTGACTTTTCCGTTACATCGACCCCCAGAGGTCTCGATCCGTTCCCCAGGGCCGGGTGGTCATCCTGAGCCGCTCTTGGACGATCCTCAAGCCCGGCGAAGGCGCCGAGAGGCCGAAACGAGATTGAAAGAGTGAAATAACAGAAAAAATCCAGTCGTGATTTTTTGTGCATGACTCGACGGGGTCTGGTCGGTGGAACGCGCGCAGCCACGCAGGAACAAACATTAGACGAGCGTGTTCCACTACTCGCAAATGGCCTGGATCCCCCGCGGAGGATCTACGATACATTACATCGAAGCGGGCATGTGTGTTTCGGACGTTTGCGAGTAGGCACTTTGCGAGTGGTGAAACGCGCTCGGTGAAAAATGAGAGCGTTGACTGCTCGACGTTGCTGTGCGCGGGCGGCCGGCCGAGGGTGCCCGTGCCGGTGCGCGTGCCCGTGTGCCCACGGGGGGCACACGCCTGCGGAGCGGGCGGCCCGCCGCCACTCCCGTCGGAGCAACCTCTCTGCAAGAGAAGGGGCTGGCGGACGTCGGGGCAAGCCTGCCGGATCCCTGAATCCTCTTCTTGGCCCTCGCGAAGGGGCCCAGCCGCGCAAGAGCGCCTCAAGACGGCCCAAGACGGCCCCAAGAGGCCCCAAAGCAGCCCCCACGACCCCCCAGAGGCCACCAAGGGGCCTCCAGTAGGCCCCGAAGAGGCCCCCACCTGGCCCCGCAACGACTGGATTGCAGGTGCTCTGGACGTGCACCCCGCGAAGCGAGGGGCATCCTTAATCATTTTTTTCACCTTGGAGAAAGGATCGGAAGCCACGCGCACCGACAGCGCCGACAGCACCTTGCTGCGGAGCTCCTGGCCCTTCACCTGCAGATTTCCCGTTGCGCTTGCAACATGGGGGAACCAGACGGTACCGATACTGATACTCCTCAGACCTCTGACGGGGAAAATCTGATCAGGATCTCGCGGCGAATCCACCGGTGGTGACGAGGCCCTTCCAGGAGCCCGAAAGAGGGGAAAATGAGGGAAGGGTAGCGGTATGAGTACCTCGTCCTCCTCCTCCGAAAATGCAGCCACAAGGGACATCAAGCAACGGGGTCTGCGAGCCCCAGCGGGCACAAGTGGGTAGGGGGAGGGGGAAGGCTTCTGAGAACGAGACTGTTTCTTGAAAGGCGCGGGCCCTACATCTATAATTAAGGCCCGCGTCTTCTAAGAAACAGCCTACATCTAAAGAACCCTCCCCCGTCCCCCACACCCCCTTTGCGCGCGTGACCGAAGTGCCAGGGTGGCTGGCGCAAACTGTCGGTTCCTCAGTTGCCCCCCTTGCCTGCAAATACGCGGCCGCTTGTTGCTGCGCCCCCGTGGCGGCGTCGGAGCGCAGGGCAGCCAGCGAGGTCCCCTTGGAGCCCCTCTGCGCCAGCGAGGGCAGGTACTTTTCGGCGTGGCCCTTCACCTGGGACAGACCTCCTCCTCCTCATCTTCCTCCTCCGCCTCCTCCTCCTGAGTCAATGAGGCAATAAGGCAACGACGGCAATGGAGTTCGTCGAAAGCGGTCGCTTCCCCCAAGGGGGACTGGTCGGGCACCCATCTGGGGAGTAGAGCCAAAAAGAAACAATGAGCGTGGTCCGGCATGAACGGAGGTAGGGAAAAAGGACAGGACATAGCAACAGCATCATCATCATAACCTAGATGAAGAAGAAAGTAGAGATGATGCGCGGCAGGTTGTAGCGTGGCGGCGGCACTGTGGGAGTTGGGAAGCCCGATGGCTTGGGTCCCCCCGCCTTCGGGTCCACTGGCCCAAGTGTGCCAGCGCCCTGGGCCCCACGTGCTGGTGTAGTTTAGCTGAGTGGAAACGGTACCCTTGTTGGTTCTCGCCCTGATCATGCCCTTCGCATTATTGTTGGAAATGTTGGCGGTATACTCGGGCTCCCGAGTCTCAGCGTGGTCGGTCAGGGCGAAATGGTGCAACTCCACCTCAGCCTGGGCCTGCTCGTGTGTGATTGGTTCCCCGTTGGCGTCAACGTTGTATCTGTGCTCCATGGACTCCATGGCCATCCGCGATGGTCTGCCGCCATGCCGTAGTAGGCGCTCTAAGCCTTCCCACTTGGCCTTGCTATTGTTGAGTTCGTTGGCGTTGCGCACGCTTTCCGCTTAGCTGTCGAGGTATTCATCATCGTCGGCTCGCATCTTCGATGTCAGTCCCTCTTTAGAATGGAAGAAGAAGGCGCGGCTAGCTGTAACTATTCGTGTTCAGCGCGGTGCCGTACAACTCGTATGCCAGCCTGCGCGAGCAGGTCTTCCCATGCAACATATGCTGTGATGCGTGGGCGCGGCTGCCTCCGCGAGCTGGTAACCGACCTTGGCCGTATGTATGCGTGCTTGTGAAGACTGCGATGCATCATTCCATTCTCTTCGCGCCCGTTGACATGCCCTCCTTATCCTTCTCAGCGCGGAAGTCGCGTTGGCGATGCGCGGCTTTCGTATTCGAGCTGGGGCGTTCTTGCAGGCTGTCCCGGCTCATTTCTGGCATCTGTGTTCAGGTCGCGGGCGCGGTCGTTAATCTCGTAATCCACGGGGCCCACGGGTGCACGTGAATGTCGCTGAACTGCTGGCGAAATATATTATGATTGGTCGCGCATGTTATCTCCTCGGGGCACAGGCGCGGGGCCGCGCGTTCAACGTGGGCGGCGTCGAGGGACCTCTGGTCGATTACGACCCGGATGTGGTCCTCGCCCTTTCGAACCATGTCTGCGTCGGCGATTACTGCAGCATCCATTACCGCGTCTTGGTGGGCGGTTGGGATGGCGATGTAGTCGACGCCGCCAGCGATGCACGCGCGTGTCGCCAGCGTCGTTCTCATCTGGTCCTTCTCCGCAGTCGCCAATCGAGTCGGCGAAGTGCTCCCCCGCGGTGGAGTTGGCGTCGATCATGATGAAGTCGACCCCGAAAATGTAAGTGGCGTTGCTGATGTTGGTATAGGAAGTAACTTTCTGTTCTCGCCCAAATGCCCGTGGGCGGCATGGGCCGCAGCCGGCGCCCCCCTATGGCCTGGCGCCGCGACGCGCGCGACGAGGAGCCCCGGGCCCGAATGCAAAATCCCGAAGCGGTCGGGGCGTAAGGAGCGCAGGGCGCTTTTGGTCTCCGCGCAAGGGATGTCGGGGCACACGAGGGGCGAGCGACCAAAAATGTAGTTGTCGTGGCCATCCGAGATCACGCGGAAGCGGCGCATGGTTGTCGCCCCCCCTGGTAGCCTTGATTCCTGAAGTCCGACTAGGTGTGTGTCCACGGTCTTCAGTTGGTTGCTGATGACCTCCATTCCCAATCACTTTTCTCAGCTGGCCCCTGCCGACGCGGGTCGGCCCCTTGAAACTGCGGACGTCGACGGTAGTCGCGGTGAGATTCACCGCTGCTTTCTTGCTGATGTGGTCCTGCTATGGTCTGAAGTGGTCTGGCGTAGATGGGGCTGTTGGCGATGTCGCTTCCGCGCCGCGGCCGGCAAGGCCTGGGCATGCGCTCCGCGCGTCGTCGTCAGCCCGCTGCATCCACTCCCTGTGACGATACTGTTGCACACCAATACTGCTATCAAGTATGGCTGTGGGCTCGTCTCGTCGCGTCGGCTTGACCTCTCTGCCATGGAGTCAGCAACTTCGTTCCAAAGGCGACTTGCGCGAGCGCGCACGCGGTCGGCGCGCAGGTCAACGGCGTCGGAAGTCAGCTGCTGTAGCCGGTTGGCAGCTGCGAACAAGTCATCGTTCGCTGTGGGGTGCGAATGCTCCCTCGGCTGGCCCAATTGCCATCTTGGACTTGGCGTTCACCGTTACTGGCAGGTTGCTGTAGACCTCTGGATGGCTGTGAATTATGCGCATGCCCGGACACCCGCCGTCAATTCCGCCGTTGTTGATGTAGGTATGTCTAGGTATGCCACCGTAGGGTCTGCAACTTTGGCTGACATGGTGACCGGGCATGCACGCCCGTCGTCATCTTCGACGATAATCACAGCAGCCCAAGCGCGGGGGCGGACTGGCGAGCGACGTCGGCGCACAGGCGGATCCGCTCGATCATCCCGCGGGTTCTGGGCGAGGCAGAGTTCGAGTGCCACGACGGCGCGTGGATTGAAGCGCTCTGGCACATGTAGGTCGGGGAAGTCGGCGGGAATGCGGGGCGCAGGTTCGCGCCCGAGGACGTCGGCGACCGGCGCGGTCACAGCGAAAATGGACTTCACCGCTCATCTCGCTGGACTCCTCGGAATATTGCCACCCGATGGTTGGCCCTCTCGCGCGGGCGAGGTTGCTCGTCGGTTGACGACAGTCGCTCGTAGACATGGTCGTTGACCTCCTGGGCGACAGGTCCTGCAGCGTAGCCGCGCGATGCGTTGCCCCTGCCGCGGCAGGGGCCTTCTCCCACATCTGCAGGATCAAAGTCATGGGGTGGCAGATGTTGTGGGTCTCCCGCATCCTGTCTCGAAACTTGGTCACGCGGCCCCAGTTAAGTCCTTCCTCGGGGCTGCGCCGGTACTGCTGTGCACTGTGGCACTGCTAAAAACAGCAGTGGCGTTGGCCGTCGCGCATCCGCTGCGTCGCCAGTCGCTCCACTGCCCTGAAAGCGGGGAACCGTTGGCTCTGCATGCCGTCGGAATGGCGCCATGGCTGATCCCCGCCGGTGGTCAGTGACTGTTGGCCCGCCCGTCTGAAATACATCCCGGGTGTTCGTTGAGCTCGTCGTCGCCCCGTTGCGGTGGGTCTTGCTGGTCTGGATAAGTTGCATCTGACGGCGCCCCAGAGTCACCGCGCGGCGTCGCCCTTACGCGACCGACGCCGCTTTGCAAACGCCAGCATGAGCCCGTTAGTTCCCCGGCAACATCGGGTCACTCGCCCGTCATAGCCTTGTCGGCGAGGACGATCGCCTCGGGCCGAGGGCCGCGGCGACGTTGGCGCGGGGCCCCCGGGGTCGATGGATGGCGACGATCATCTCCCAGGTGCGGCAATGAAGGTTCTGTGGGGCTAACTGGTTGCGGCGTCATCTGCCCTGTCGGGGAGACGCCTTCATCCTCTCTCCCCGCAGGCGATGGCGCGTCGATGCCGATGTACTCCGGCGCGCGGTTGGACGGCGAATGCGGTTGTCCTGGCGGAACAGATCCCGGCGCCCATGCCGGTGGCGCTGACCTTTCTATCGCGTCGGTCCGCTGAGATTCTCTTAGCGGCGCGGCCGTGCATCTCCGCGTCCTTGGCGGAGAGAACGCGCGGCGCTGGCCATGGGGGCGTTCGCCAGGTTGCGATGCTACGAATGCATTACGTCGGCTTCTCTGAGCATTTCGTTGGACTGGGTCTGGGCCCCCAGTGATTTTTCCACCCTCCAATGGATGCTCAAGTCGCAGGACGGCTGGGAATACCGCAGTCGCGGCGGCTGCAGGGCCCTCGTCGTCCGCGGCGATCGGCGCGCGGAAAACCTGGCTGATGGCGTCCACCAGCTCGACGTTGTCGAGGCGCTGCCAGGCGGTGATCGCCGCCTGTCTGTCGTGCTGGAACTCCTCTGTAGCATTCTCCATCCTCTTCTCGCGCGTCTCTCTGATCGGTCCCCACTGCGACTCCCTGCGGAGGCATGCTTGCAATTCACGTTGAAAGCCTTCGCGCTGTCCTGCCGCGCCCATCTCAGCTCGCTGGAGCGCGAGCCGAAACTGCCCTTCAGATCGTGAAGCATTGCAGTTCACTTGCTGCTCGCAGTTGCGCATGTCGGCAATGACCTTTTGGAAGTATCCTTCCAACTGCCCTGGCCCTTTTCTTTCTGCGCGCGCCCTGCTCGACGCCGGCAACCATCTGCTGGCACTGGCCGCCGGCCGCGCGGATAGCGGCCCCCGCGCGCCTGCGTTTTCCAGCGGCACCTGCGTCGCTCGCAGGCTTCTTTCCTCTGCGTCGCCCAACCTACGATGCAAGATGTCGTTGTCGCTGTAGTCATTGATCCGGCTTTGAACTTTTGCCGCTTTGGCTTCTATGCGGGCGATGCAACCCTGGGCTCCTAGGGTCACGGTGTAGTACTCATGCCTTTCTGCTGTCGACCCTCCTGCGCCTCGGAGATTATTTTCCACGTCGTCGGGCATGCGGCTGCCGTCGGCAAACTTCCCCTGCGTGTCCCGGAGCTTCATCTGCACTTGATTGTCGCTTGTTGCCCGAAGCGGATGCCCCACAACATGTGGAGGTCTCTTCGCGGTTTCGATATCTTTCTCCGCCCCGTTGAGCTTCTCCGCGCTGGCGGTCTGGATGCACGCATGGCGAGTTGCCATCCCTCTGCAGCCTGCTTTGTTCTTTGCATATCCTTCTTCAGCTCGTCGTTGTAGTTATCGGCCTCCGCCGCCTCGAGCTGCTGATTATTTTTCATGTCGGCGCTCGGTATCCTGGCATGCGCGGGGGTGTCTTCTGAGGTCGTTGATATCGTTGCTGTGCTCGGCCTTGTTTTCTC